GTCTCCCTTCTGCTCACAGCCCTTGTCCAAGGACCCCTGGCCTAGGCCATCAAGAGGGCTCCACAGGCCTGGGCTCGGCCTCAGCCCTCTCAGGGTAACTTGCCAGGGAGCCCCTAGCCAGTGCAGTGATACCACTTGAGGGTTTGTGCGCCTGGCAGGCGTCTCCTCCCTTTACTTAGGAAGGCAGGGCCATGGCGCCAGGTCCTGTGGCTGGGGTCAAGTGCAGGAGAGAGGAGGTTTGTGCGGGGAGGACCAGTGCCCACTGCGTGCAGCCTGGGCCACTGGAGTTCCGTGCTTGGCTCCCTGGCAAAGGCCAGGCCAAGGCCTGTATCCCAGGCACTCTCACCCGCAGGAGCGCCAGCAGGCCAGCTCGGGGAAATGCTCACGGAGACAGCCCTGCCAGGTCCCCACAGCCCAGGGACGGCCCCCAGACGCTCTGCTCGACAGCCAGGGACCAGCAAGGGTGTAGACAGAGGGCCCAGACTGGACCAGACCCCGCACTGTAGGCCACAGCCCCACATGGGTTGCCCTCGAGTGACCACGGTCTCACCTGCTCGCCTTCATCTTGCAGGGACTGGGCCGGGGTCTGCACGCGCTCAGCTGAACCCATAGAGGCTCCCAGAGCTAACCCCTGACCACCAGGGCAGGCAAAGGCTGATGTCGGTATCCCTATCCTGGAGGGGCAGGTAAGGCCCCGCCTACACCTCCCTCCCCCGCCCCCCCGCCCCCGTGCCTCCAAAGGCCCCAAGCCCTCACTCTTTCGTCCCACCATCCATTTGGGCCCGCCCTCTCCATCATGGGCCCTGGACCCTGCCATGGCCCTGCCCCATCTCCATTTGACTCAGCCATCTGCCTCTGCCACAGCCCCACCCACTTCCATTTGGCCCCGCCCTCCTCACCACAGCGCCGCCCATCTCCATTTGGCCCACCCTCCCTGCCTCAGCCCCAGCCCATCTCCACTTAGCCCACCCTCCGTGCCACAGCCCCACCCACTTTCATTTGGCCCCCCCTCCCACCACAGCCCCGCCACCTCCATTTGGCCCACCCTCTTTGGGCCCGGCCCTCCTCACCACAGCCCGCCCATCTCCATTTGGCCCCACCCTCCCTGCCTCAGCCCCAGCCCATCTCCACTTAGCCCACCCTCCGTGCCAAAGCCCCCACTCACTTTCATTTGGCCCCGCCCTCCCCACCACAGCCCCACTCATCTCTATTTGGCCCACAGGCCCGTGCCTCGCGCCCACCCCATGTTTGGGCTTCTTGGGCGCCCCTCCCACTGTTGCAGGCCCTTGCGCATCGCTTCCTGGCATGGGCGCCTGCGCAAAAAACCCCCCCTCGCCTTCCTGGCGCTGGCCTTCTGGTGGCGAGTTGCGAGCAAGTCCATGGAGGAAACATTGAGGCCCTGGAGGACACAGATCCAATCCCTGCCACAGGGATGTTCCACTCTGTCACCCACTCCATGCTGGATTCAGGTCATGGCCTCACAAACTGACCAGGCTGCCTAGGTGTGAGCCTGCTGGAGAACTCTGGGAGGTGGGGGTGGTCGGAATTTTTGAACTCAGGAGTTGGAGACCAGCCTGGGCAACATGGCCAGACCCCGTTAAAGTTTACAAAAAGTTTAAAATTAGTTGGGCCTGGTAGCGGGAGCCTGAGGTCCCAGCGACTCAGGAGGCTGAGGTGGGAGGATCACCTGGGCCCAGAGGTGGAGGCTGCAGTGAACCGAGACTGCACCACTGCACTCCAGCCTGTGCAAGGCGAACTCCATCTCAAAAAAAAAAAAAAAAACAAAGCATGCTCTTCTCTAATTCAGCTCCTCCTCTCTCTGACGTGAAATCCTTCAGATGGAACGTGTTAAAGTCACAGACATGCTGCTCGCCCCACCCACAGAGTGTGATCAAGTCTGCTTTTCCTTTTGTCCCTTTAACATTTGCCCAGCAGAGTCCATCTTCCTCTGCTTGGTGGAAAACTCCAGACATCACAGACCCTTCTGCTCCCTCTCTGGTTAAAGGGTGTCCTGAGTACCACAGTAAGTCACAAAACATCATTTTGATTCAGCAACCAGAAGACCAAGATTTCAACCAACACTTTCATCTGCTATTGAGTCAACTCTACAGAGGTGTACTTTACATACAATAAACCACATCCATGTCAGTACACAAGCAGGTGAGTCTGACCACCCCCTTGAAGCTGCCACCACAGCTGGGATGGCGCCTGGTCCCACGCAGCTACCAGCGCTCGCTGCGGCCCCCAAAAGCCTGGGCTCCCAGCGCCCAGGAGTTGACGGGACTGCAGCCGTATCTTCTAGAGTCTTATACAAAGGGGCTGCACACAGTGACCTTCAGATCCTTCCATGTTGTTTTATCTGCACTTTCTTGCTTTCCACAGCCGAAGGATTTTTCCACCGTGTGGCCAAACATCACCACCATTACCCATCACCTGCCGGTGGGTGCCTGGGCTGCTCCCAGTTCCTGGTGACTGGATGAAGCTGCGGCAGAGGCCCTGGCACATGTCTTCATGTGGACATCTGTCTTCATTTCTCTTGGGAGCAGAGTGGCTGGCCCACAGGAAGGTGCACATTTAACTTTCTGAGAAACTGTAGCCATCTTCCACAGGGGCTGTGCTGTTTGCCCTCCCACTGGCAGTGCGGGTGCACACAGGGTGTCGTGCACGTGCGGGAGTCTGTGTTGTTTGCATTTCCCCGAAGACTAACAATGGCATCTTTCCATGTGCTTATTAGCCACTTATACATATTCTTTTCTGAAGTGTCTGCTCATATCTTCTGCCCATTTTGTTTAATCGGGTGGAGTTGTAACATACACTTTTTTGGCGGGGTGGGGTGGGGTGGCGGATAGGGCCTCACTCTGTCACCCAGGCTGGAGTGCAGTGGCGCCATCGTGGCTCACTGCAGCCTTGACCTCCGGGGCTCAGGCGATGCTCTTACCTCAGCCTCCCGAGCAGCTGAGACTACAGGTGCGCGTCACCACCGCGCTCGGCTAAAGCACGTTCTTCATCAGATTTATGTATATTGCAAATATTTTCTTCCATCTTGTGGTTTGTCTTACCATTTTTTTTCTTTTTTGAGACGGAGTCTCGCTCTGTCGCCCAGGCTGGAGTTCAGTGGTGCCATCTCCGATCACTGCAAGCTCCGCCTTCCGGGTTCCGCCATTCTCCTGCCTCAGCCTCCCGAGTAGCTGGGACTACGGGCACCGCCACCACGCCCAGCTAGTTTTTTGTATTTTTAGTAGAGACGGGGTTTCCCCGTGTTAGCCAGGATGGTCTCGATCTCCTGACCTCGTGATCCGCCTGTCTCAGCCTCCCAAAGTGCTAGGATTACAGGTGTGAGCCACTGCATCCGGCCCCTGTCTTATCATTTTTTTTTTTTTTGAGACGGAGTCTCGCTCTGTCGCCCAGGCTGGAGTGCAGTGGTCTGATCTTGGCTCACTGCAAGCTCCGCCTCCCAGGTTCACGCCATTCTCCTGCCTCAGCCTCCCAAGTAGCTGGGACTACAGGCGCCCGCCACCTCGCCCGGTTAGTTTTTTGTATTTTTTAGTAGAGACGGGGTTTCACCGTGTTAGCCAGGATGGTCTCAATCTCCTGACCTCGTGATCCACCCGTCTCGGCCTCCGAAAGTGCTGGGATTACAGGCTTGAGCCACCGTGGCCGGCCTGTCTTATCATTTTCTTATGGACATCTTCTGAAGTGCAAACATTTTTAATTTTAATGAAAGTTTTAATAAAATTGAATGCATCCATTTTTCCTTTTGTGGTTCTTGTTTTTTGTGTCCTAAGAAATCTCTGCCTTGACCTCACGGTCACTAAGATTTACTGCTTTCTTCCAGAAGTGTTACGGTTTTAGTTTTTGCATTTTGAGTCACCTTTGTGTATGGTGAAATGCAGGTCAAACGTCATTTCTTTCCTTATATATAAACAGTTGCTAAAAAGACTTCTTTCCATGTGGAATTATGTTGATATCTTTATTGAAATCAATGGACTATAGATGTGAGGTCTGTTTCTGGGCTTTCTATTCGGTTCCACTCACCTGTGTGTCTCCTCTTCAGGGATACCGTGGCTGACTGGATTACTGACGCAGTAATTCGAACAGAAACTTTGAAATCGGCTCTGCTTTCCTTAATTGCTCTGGCAATTCTAGGTCACATGTGTTTCCTATTTTAGACTCATTGTTTCAATTCCTACAAAAAAGCCTACTGCGATTTTGACAGGAGAGCTGAGGTGTGAACAGGATTGAGTCTTTTCATCAGGGACATGCTGTCTCTCTTCATCCCTCCACGTCTTCCTCAGTGTGTCTCAGCAGTGTTTATAGCTTTCAGTGAACAGGTCTTGTGTATCTTGTATCAAGGTAATTACTAAGTATTTTACTTTTTGTTATTACAAATGGAATGGAATTTCTGATTTCATTTTCCAATAGTTTGCTGCTACTATATAATGATAAAATTTTGCACATTAACCTTGATTTCTGGAATCTTGCCAAATTCACTTAATAGTTCTAGCAATTCTCTGTAGCTTTCTTAGGGTCCTCTACATAAATAATCATGTCATCTACAAATAAATACAGTTTTACTTCTTCCTTTCTAATCCTTGTGACTTCAATTTGCCTTTTTTCTTACCTTATCGCAGTGGCTGGGACTTTGAGTATAATGTTGGACAGAAGAGTGAGAATGGGTGTCATCCTTGTTCTTGATTTTAGGGATAAACTGCTCAATATTTCGGCATTAAAAGTACAATGTCTAGTGTCGGTTTTTCATAGATGTCTGTGTATCAGACTCAGGGAGTTTCCTTCTAGTCTTAGTTTGCTGAGGTTTATTTTAAAAAATCATAAAACAGGTATAAATGTTTCCAAATGTCTTTTCTGCACCTATTTCACTGTTCGTCCTTCCCTTCTTTATTCTAGTGACATGGTGCTGACAAAGATTGATTTATGAATCAAAACAACCTTGTATCACTGGGATAAACCATGCTTGGCCGAGGTGTGCTGCCCTCTTAGGCTATTGTTGGATTTCACCTGCCAATACCTTCTTAAGGATTTTTGCCTGTGTTCATGAAGGCTAGTGGTCTATAATTTTTTTTTAGATGTCTTTGTCAGGTTTTGGTATTGGGTTATATTGCCTCATAAAACCAGCTGGGAAATATGCCCTCCTTTTTTAAAGAGAGACAGGGTCTCACTCTGTTGCCAGGTGGAGTGTAGTGGTGCTGTCAGAGCTCACTGCAGCCTTGAACTCCTGCAATCAAGGGATCCTCCCACCTCAGCCTCCCAAAGTGCTGGCGTTACAGGGAGGAGTCACAGCACCCACCCCCTCCTCTTTTATTTCCTGAAAGACTGTGTAAGAATATTGTGATTTCTTCTTTGCATGTTGGCGAGAATTCACCAGGAAACCATGTATGTATGCCAGGAGTTTTCTCGGTAGGTAGGTTCTCTGGTAATGAATTCAGTTTCCTGAACAGACAGAGGGCCATGCAGATTTCCATCACTTTTGACCAGTTACATTCTTCCAAGAGTTTATCCATTGCATTGAAATTGCTACATTTACTGGCCTAAAATCGGTCATAATAGTCACCTAGTATTTTGAAACATGGTCTCGCTCTGTC